TAATATCTAGAACTGCTAGCGCTTTATAAATTATTCCCTTGCTAGTACTTTGATGCATGCTACTACCTGAGCCATTATTACCCTGATGCAACCCACTCTACCACGTCACCCTGCTTTGCGCATTCGCTCACTTATATATGCTTACTTGCCTGCTTGCTTGCATATTACACCACTATACTTATTATTAACTCCACTTCACATTATATCGGGGATGTGATGCTGGTGGTGAACCCCCTAGGAATTGTTTGGCTATGGGTGCCAGACTTGGAGGTGTGTGAGCATGCTGCGTGTGTCTTGGGTGCGTGGAGAGTAAGGGTTGTGTCGACCGAGCCGGAATAACGACGAGCCTGGGGCGAGTCTTGCCATGTGGTGCTACCTGGGCACTTGGATATGGAATACCTGTGGCGGGTAAATGGTAATTGGAGGTGGCTCTGGGTGTGAACCTGTGATGGGAGGAGCCCAGGGTGGAGGTGCTGTGGTGGCACGGTAAATGGAAACCCTGATGAAGACATTCTGGCTTGGTCACCCCTAAGGACTTACTAGTACTCAGATTCACCGGGAATCCTTTACATCCCACTCGCCCTATATGGTGCGGGACGGTCGGACTACTTGTTAGAGCGATGCCACTACTGCTAGGTGAACGTGTGCAAGGAGGTACGGGGCACGCGGTTTTCCCCCACACCCTTCCGAGACTTCAGGAGGCCTTGTGGACCCGGCTCTTGACATTCGGAGGGCCCCGGCTCTATCTACGACTCACAGTATCAGCCATCCTAGACTAGACTTGAGATGTTCCAGGGCTAAGAGGTAGGGTGGCATCGTTCTAGACTAGCAAGCGATCGGAATTCTGCCTAGGAGATACATGGCTCCGAGGATGGCTAATCTTGTGGGTATGTAAAACCTCTGCAGAGTGTATGGTTGATCGATCGATACATATGCCGACTTGTCGGCTATGGACCTTTCCTAGGTTTTGCTTAAACTAGATAGGAGATGAGTCCTTCCATTCTCCCTCCAGGGTTGAGGTATTTTCTGGTCGTGAGCCTTGGGGCTGCGGGCCATTGAGACAAGGCCGAGAGGGAGTTGGCCTGTCGACATGAGTGTGTGAGATGAGATAAGGTGTGGTGGTGTGGAGATGGTTTGGGATGGATGGTTGGTGGATGGATATGGCTGGATGTGGATGTGTGTGGATGGGAATGTGTTAAAAACTGGACATTATTATTACATTACTACTATTACTTACTTCTCATGCGCTAAGGATGTAAACCACAGCCAAATGTTAGGATCGCCAGATCCTCTTGTTTTTATCTTTTCCACTAAAGCTCATCGGTGCTGACCATGGCCTGCACACATCTGGCAGTGTGCAGATTTTCCTGCTTCTCAGAGATGCTGACTTTAGAAGGATTAGGAGGTCTTGTGCCTACGCTCAAGTTTGGTTCGGAGATGGAATCTACGCTGCACTATGCCAACTCTGATGATGCCCGTGAAGGAGGAGCCTTCACTCGATAGTCTTCCGCTAGATTAACTCTGTAATAGGTGTGTTTCCCCAGTGATGTAATATCTTGTATTCTTGTAATCTTATATTCTTGTAATCTTACGATGTATGACTGTGACATCGACTAAAATATGATAATATGATGGAATCAGTTCTTAGTTTCATCATATTATAATTCATTCTATGGAATTTTCCCCTTGCAAAAAATTGAGGATGTTTCAATATGGATCATTACAGAGTGCCTCCTATGAATCGGCACCATTGTTATTGTCGTCTTGTTCGTCGTCCTTGTAACCGCTGCTAATTTCCCTTTCTAGATCGAAGGTACGGTCCTATAGGTAGTAGATGTACTCCGTATGCGGATAAATAGATCGAGGATCGACCCACCTAGTGAACCCACAGTTTTCTTCGGCCAAGGAAGACTGCAATAAGTATGTCATGCAAGTTGTATAGAAGAGGAACATATTGAAGAAACAAATAGTAATAGCAATTACCCATGCTCGCGGGCATTTGAAGAAACGACGATCTCCATCTATTCCCTTAGTGAACATCTGCACTAGGACCTCCATCTATTCTCAATTACCATGTTAGGGCCGGCCCCAGGAGCTTCTAGAAGCTCATCATCACGTCCTTTTGCACACGCCTGATCGGAATGAGTAAGATCGCTGAACTCGTGAACTCTTGGATTACGGCGGTCGGAAAGATACGCCTCAGCATCTCAACATCACTCTCTGTCAGCTCTCCAACAAGGCGATCATCATCCGAATCAAGAGCCCTTGCCATCTCATATTGCTTCGAATCATTCATAATTTCAATACTATTGGAGCCATGGAATTCATCTCCACAGTGCACTTACGCAGCAACAGAGGGCATATCCACATTGTTAGGAATGTCTCCTGCAACATAAGTAGAGAAATGAGGAAATAATGAAAGAAATGGATGTAAGGAAGGGGTTAAGCTCCCAATAATCATGAGGATAAGACACTTACTCGGATGATTCTGTGTCAAAGGGATCTCATGAGGAGGATCTGCTACAACATCATGAGTCTGACAAGCATCTCCAACTACCTCATTGGGGGCAGATTGAGCATCAGGAACCATAGGTGCAACCTCCACATCCATATCAGGTTCCGGGACGGGAGGATCGAAGTGTGTCTGCCGACCCATTGGTGGGAAAAACCCACGAGGGATGGGATCAACTAACACCCGACGCACAACCACGTCCAAACATTGCAGCTGGCTCTTCATAGCCGATCTCACATAGTTCTCCCACTGGTCCGCACACCCAATTGGGATCATGGAGAACCTAGGTGCAGTACACCTTCAACTGCAATGCCATCATCATTATCTCCAAGGCAATGCAGCTTCTCCCGAGCCATTGGAACCATCTCACTAAATGAAGGCCTATCATTGAATAGCATAGGCACGCTTTGTATGTCAACAAACTCAACATATCCATAGCGATCGTATTCAACAGTGCCTCCATGATATATGGTCATTAGGTTGTCCATCTAGTTCAAACACATAACGAAACACATGTCTTTTAGTTCAAATTAGACAATAGATAGTACCTAACAAGTACTTTCTAACTACAAACTAAGTAAATAAGATAATAACTACGTATATATATATATACAATGTACTCACAAAATAGCTATGTCTATGTACCTATGTATCTATGTTTCTATCTATTTACATATCTAACTATATCTATGTACCTATGTATCTATGTTTCTATCTATGTACTTATTTATCTCACTAGATCACTAACTAAATCAACTACCTGAGTCATCACATTAACTAGTAAATAACAAATAATCGAACTACTACATTACAAATCAAAGCTAGCTAAGTACCTACATTGCATATTCATAATTTTTACTGGCGCGCGGCGGGCACGTCAGTAGGTCTTCGACTACAGAAAGCGCAAAGAGGCGGGACGACAACGGTGACAACGGTGACAGAGAGAGAGAAAGAGAGAAAAAGAGAGAAATGAAGGGATGACCCATACGTAGAAGAGGGCTTGGCGCCAGAATTGTTGGTGCCGAGCTCGGTGTCAAGATCCACGGCGCCAAGATCCACGGCGCCGAGCTTGGCTACTATGTCAGCGTCTACGTCGCTAACGTGGCCCTGAGCTCGACGCCAGAATATATGGCGCCGAGACGTGTAAGGATTTTGAAATGATACCTTCAAGGTATATTTGTGAAAAAATTTCAAAAAAGCTAAAAATAAAAAATTTGGGCTGTCCTGCCTGGTGGTTATAAATAAAAAAAGGTTTTAAAAGTTGAGACAGGGAATTTATCCTCGGTCAACTCGAGAGAGATACGGAGGAAGGGAAGTACGATGCGCATAACAGTGGATGTGGATATCCGGTGCAGTTAATATTAAAATTTAAAAGTACTACTAGGAGTTTTGCGATTTTTCCAATGCTGAACCTTGTCACGTTGACGCGTCCAAAAGATTTATAGAAATAGAAATAAAATTTACGTGATATTATTGTTATAATAAGATTTGAAAAAGGATTAAAATATAAAAAATCCGCCTGGGTCAGTTGGTTTGCGCGTATATAGTAGTAGTATCGTATCCATAGAACAGCATCAGGCTAGCAGCAGTGATGAGTTCGAGGGTGTTCGGTTTGACCTATTCAATTTTAGTAGCTATTAAACGGTTTAGTTATTTTTAGTAATTTTAAAATTATTAACTAAAGTTTTTTAATAGCTCTTAGTCATTCTATTTGGTTAAAAAGCTAGTAAAATAACTAAAAGCTACTCCGACGCGGCGCGGCGCCACTTTGCAGCCGCAGCAGACCTCCTCCTCCTCCTCCCACGTTCCACCTGCCATTCTGATGCACCCGCATTCATTCCGACGCGGTTTGCCGGACTGCGCTGCGGGCTGCGGCCGCTGAGCGACCAACCCAAGCGGCGGTTGGGACTTGGGAGTAGCCGCAGCCCGCACCGCAGGCCGCTTGCGGCTTCCCTCCCCACCCGCAGGCCGTAGCAGCCTATGAAGCTTCGCGGCAGCTTCGTCCGCAGGCCACGCGTCCTCTCCCCGTCCTCCGTCCACACCCCTTCTTCAACTCCCTCCTCCTCACCAACCTGCAGCACAAGCCGAAACAGAAGCAGAGGCAGAGGAGAGGAGAGGCACCGACCGACCCCGACCGAGCGAGCGACCGCCGCGCATGCGGTTCCCACCTCCGCCCCACCACCACCACCACCACTACCCGTCGTAGGGACCGTCGGGGCCCACACCGAACAACTTCCGGGACCGCGACGACTCATCGTCGTCGCCGTCCTTCCTCTGCCGCCACCGCCGCCGCATCCTCTGCCAGTGCCGCGGCGCGCGCCGCCGCCCTCGCGTCATCCATCCCCGGCCCCAGCCCCCGCGTGGGCATTGCCATCCTCTGCTTCGTCGGCTCGGTTCGTTGCGGCGCACTCCGGCCTCCGGCTCTCCGCACCGCACGCCAACTAACCAACCACCCGACTCCTCCACCGCCGCCGCCCCTCCGACGGCGATGGGCGAGGCGGCGCCACCGGTGCCCACCGCCGGCGGCGACGCGGACGACCTATCCGCGTTCCCGGCGTGGGCGCGGTCGGTGTCGGACTGCGAGGTGCGGCTGGGGGCCTCCATCACCCGCGGCCTCTCCTCCGCCGAGGCCGCGGCGCGGCTGCGCGTCCACGGGGCGAACGAGCTGGCGGAGCACCCGGGCCCGTCGCTGCTGCGGCTGCTGCTGGACCAGTTCGAGGACACGCTGGTGCGCATCCTGCTCGCGGCCGCCGCCGTCTCCTTCCTCCTCGCGCTCTCCTCCTCCGGCGCCGCCCCGACGCTCGCCGCCTTCGTCGAGCCGCTCGTCATCTTCCTCATCCTCGTCGTCAACGCGGCCGTCGGGGTGTGGCAGGAGGCCAACGCGGAGCGGGCGCTGGACGCGCTGCGTGAGATCCAGTCCCACCACGCCGTGGTCCTTCGCGACGGCGGCTGGGTCCCCGCGCTGCCCGCGCGGGACCTCGTCCCCGGCGACGTCGTGCAGCTCCGCGTCGGGGACAAGGTGCCCGCCGACATGCGCGTCGCGAGGTTGCTCACCTCCACGCTCCGACTCGAGCAAGGGTCGCTGACCGGGGAGACGGCGTCCGTCAACAAGACCTCCCGGGCCGTGGCGGTGGAGGACGCCGACATCCAGGCCAAGGAGTGCATGGTGTTCGCCGGCACCACCGTCGTCAACGGCGCCGCGCTCTGCATCGTCGCGCGCACCGGGATGGCCACGGAGATCGGCGCCATCCACGCGCAGATCCACCAGGCGTCGCAGGAGGACGACGACACGCCGCTCAAGAAGAAGCTCAACGAGTTCGGGGAGGCGCTCACCAAGATCATCGGACTCATCTGCGCGCTCGTCTGGCTCATCAACGTCAAGTACTTCCTCACCTTCGACCTCCAGGGGGGATGGGTGCCCAGGAACGTGAAATTCTCCTTCGAGAAGTGCACCTACTACTTTGAGATCGCCGTCGCCCTCGCCGTCGCCGCCATACCCGAGGGCCTGCCCGCCGTCATCACCACCTGCCTCGCGCTCGGGACCAGGAAGATGGCTTCCAAGAATGCGCTCGTCAGGAAGCTGCCTAGCGTCGAGACCCTCGGCTGCACCACTGTCATCTGCTCCGACAAGACCGGGACGCTCACCACCAACAAGATGTCAGTGGCCAAGCTCGTGGCCATCGGTGATTCTTCACAGGAGGTTAGGAGCTTCAAGGTGGACGGTACTACCTACGATCCTCATGACGGGAAAATTCACGACTGGCCTGCTGGGAGCATCGATGCCAACCTTGAGACGATCGCCAAGGTCGCAGCTGTGTGCAACGATGCCAATGTGGCACATTCTTCGCAGCAGTATGTTGCCACTGGAATGCCGACAGAGGCAGCTCTAAAGGTGAGGATTGCTAAAACTTGTTCACATTCTGCTATTGTTACCTTCTCCGAATCCTTATTAGTTAGCCAGTTAGGAGTAACTCTGATTCACCAGTTACAGTTACAAATGTAGTTGATCATCATGCTGCAAACAGCCTACTAGGCACAGTATGGTGAGAACTGACAACTGAAAGTGGTGTTCGTTTTCACATGTGTTGGTCGAATGCTAAACAGGACAAGATTGCTGTCGGGAAATAAACAAGGCGTTGTTTTCGCTAACTTCCTTTTTTTTTTTTTGTTACTTCTAGGTTCTGGTTGAGAAAATGGGCCTGCCTGGAGGAAAGAATGGTCTGTCCTTGGATCCGTCTGAGACATTAGGTAACAAAATACACGTTCTTCGCACCTTATTTACATTCTATTTCCTTCCTTGTAAGTGATGCTTAATAAATACATACATGCAAGGAGTCTCACACAAGTGGATTGCAATGTTGTTTGCTGACAGGCTGCTGCAAATGGTGGAACAATGTTGCCAAAAGGATCGCTACCCTCGAGTTTGATCGCACAAGGAAATCAATGGGTGCCATTGTGAAAACCAGTTCAGGAAGCAATGCCCTGCTCGTGAAGGTATTGATTCCCCTATTTCCTGCATTTGTACCGATTACTGAACGATTTTTCATGTACAAGCTAAGTAATGCTTTTCATTGGATCATGTGTTTGCTGGACTGATATTCAGAGTTCTTGTATTTATGGCAGGGAGCTGTTGAAACTTTACTTGAACGAAGTAGCCACCTTCAACTGAAGGATGGTTCCGTGGTGCCATTAGATGAGAAAGCAAAGAAAACTGTCCTGGCAAGCCTCCATGAGATGTCAACCAAAGCTCTGCGCTGCCTCGGTTTTGCATACAAGGAGGATCTAGCAGAATTTGCAACATATGATGGCGAAAACCATCCTGCTCATAAGCTCTTGCTGGATCCGGCCAATTATGCAGCTATTGAGACTGACCTAATATTTGCGGGTCTTGTGGGCCTAAGGGTAAGATAACGCTCCTACTTTGAGCTGCATTGAATAAATTGTTTCTGCACTCCACAATCTGGAATAGACAGGAATATATTGCTTAGGGACAGACACACGCAGTGTGTCAAATGCTCTTGTTAGCACTTGGGTTTCTTACATACAAAATTAACATTTCTTTCTCATGGATGTTTTGATTTGCCAGGACCCTCCCAGGGAAGAGGTCTATGATGCTATTGAAGATTGTAGAGCTGCAGGCATCCGTGTTATGGTGATAACAGGGGACAACAAAGAAACTGCTGAGGCAATATGCCGTGAAATTGGTGTGTTTTCACCTGATGGGGATATCACCTTCAAGAGCCTTACAGGGAAGGAGTTCATGGCGCTTGAGGACAAGAAGGCGCTGCTACGCGGGAAAGGTGGCCTTCTGTTCTCTAGGGCAGAACCTAGGCACAAACAAGAGATTGTGAGGTTGCTGAAAGAAGATGGGGAGGTTGTCGCCATGACTGGAGATGGAGTCAATGATGCCCCTGCTCTGAAACTGGCTGACATTGGTATAGCTATGGGCATTACTGGAACTGAGGTAAATACTTAGTTTTCCATCTTATTAGGTTCACCTCAAATCACTTCTTTCTAGCTTCCTGGACTAGAGCTGCCAGCTTTTGAATTGCCGTATTATTTCTGCTCGACAAAGCTGTAAACTTATTGAAAGGGGTGTGGTGTTGGCCACCAGAGAATGACTGCTTCTTTGTTTGCTGCTTTTCATATAGCCAACAGACAAGGGTTAACAGCATCAACTTTATTCTATAGGACATGGATTTATAATATGTTGTTGTGCCCACAAGGAAGATTCATATGTAAAACTATGATTTTTTCATGGTATAATTTGAAGTGTTTTTCTAAAACAAATCTCTAATGTTTCAGGTTGCCAAAGAGGCCTCTGACATGGTGTTGGCTGATGACAATTTCAGCACTATAGTTTCTGCAGTTGGTGAAGGAAGATCTATTTACAACAACATGAAAGCTTTCATAAGGTTTGTGCTCTGAGAGCATGTTTTGATTATTGTTCACACTTTCTAGTAGTTCTCATCAGCCAACAGTGCCAGCATACTTTTTTTCCCTTGTGAGCGTTCTTGACTGTCTTCCTTGGCTGCGGCAGATACATGATTTCCTCAAACATTGGTGAAGTTGCTTCTATTTTCCTAACTTCTGCCTTGGGCATTCCTGAGGGGTTGATACCTGTTCAACTTCTGTGGGTCAATCTTGTCACCGATGGTCCCCCTGCAACTGCTTTAGGTTTCAATCCTCCTGACAAGGACATCATGAAGAAGCCACCTAGGAGGAGCGATGATTCACTGATCACTCCCTGGATTTTGTTCCGCTACCTGGTAAATGATCTCCCTTGTCTTGTACTATTCATCCCTTGAATCTGTTGGCTCATTTTTGGAATCTTATATTTAGAGACAATCCTCATGACTTTTACCTTGTCTGCAGATAATTGGCCTTTATGTTGGGATTGCAACTGTTGGCATCTTTGTCATATGGTACACACATGGGTCTTTCATGGGCATTGACCTTACTGGAGACGGTCACACTCTTGTCAGTTACTCACAGCTTTCAAACTGGGGCCAGTGCTCTTCCTGGGACAACTTCACCGCTTCACCTTTCACTGCTGGAACTAAAACTTTCACATTCGACGACCCATGCGACTACTTCCACACAGGAAAAGTGAAGGCAACAACGCTGTCCCTCTCTGTCCTGGTGGCAATCGAGATGTTCAACTCGCTCAACGCTCTCTCTGAAGACAGCAGCCTGCTCACTATGCCGCCCTGGGTCAACCCATGGCTGCTCGTCGCGATGTCGGTGTCGTTCGCGCTCCACTTCCTGATCCTCTACGTGCCGTTCCTTGCTACAGTGTTTGGCATCGTTCCACTGAGCCTGAACGAGTGGCTGCTGGTTCTGCTGGTCGCTCTCCCGGTGGTGCTCATCGACGAGGCTCTCAAGTTCGTGGGCAGGTATACAAGCTCTCCCGGCCCCAAGAGGCGGTCGAGGAAGCAGAAGGGCGAGTAAAGCGCTAACATTGACTCAGTGCTCAGTTACTAAACCATTCCATTAATCATGTAAAGATGAACCTCAGAGAAAAAATGTTCCTAAGCTCCAAACTATTCAATCAATACAGGAAAAAATGCAGATAAATGACTTTTTTCACTGTTTCTCTCTCTTTCTCCACCTAACGCTAAAACAGCTACAAAAGTAGCTTCTTTGTTCTTAAAAACAAGTGGTTAGTTGGCAACATATATTATCCTGTGAATACTTTAGCATTGAGTCAACTTCAGATGATACTTTTCAGTTTTTTTTTGGCTGCAAGGCATGTGAAGCAGGGATACAATACAACAATTATGCAAGGGATGATACCTTATTATGCTCTAGATTGTCTTGGAACTGCGTGTGAATGGACTGGGGTAACATTCGTAGATACCAAATGCTGAAGAACAGCACATAAAAAAAAAAATGTCAGGCTGAGGTGCTCGCCTAACTGACTGCAGTACAAGTTGCACACGTCCAGCGCTTTACCAGGAGCGGACTGAAACAGGCTATCTTCTGACTTCTGAACATGTAAGCCACACAGACGGGCAATGGATAAAACTGCAACAACAAATTGTACCCGTAGTTCTTGAGTAATAGAACTATAATGATCACAAAGGAAAAGACAATCACAAATCACACATGACTGTCAAGTAAACTTCAGCGAGAGGTAACTTTGAAGGCTTTTTCGCTACCCTAGAGGCTAGAGGGATTCATCATGCATCTTTACTTTCCCTCAACTTTGATCAGCTAAGAAAATGCTTGGCTCGTCCACCGATGATCTCGGCATTGGTCTCACTCAAGGATGCTGTCAACTTTTTTTTGAGTGGATTTCTTTGATTATTTTTAATGCTGTCTACTGAGATGATTATGCTTGTTATTGAACTTGCATATATTGTATGAGTACTACTGCTTTATATAATGCTTACATCATGTTTGTGGATTAAAATAAACCAAAAAGTACCCCTAATTCTAACACATTCTATTCAAATAAATACTTTCCTTAATATGGGTTTTCTAACTATATTTTTGTATAGAAAACACAGGTTAAACTAAAGTCTATCTCCGATCCAAGCACCTAGTCAAAACTCAAAACAAAATATATTGAGCGGAGAAAAAGATCCTTCTCTTCAATGAATATTTTTTTTTTGAGGAAATGAATATTAGCTGCCAGTTTGAGTACAATTCCTTCATGCCCTGTTTATAGCTGTCGATCTGATTAGTTACGGTTGTGATGGTACTCAGCATATTCATATATGTGGCCATTAACTGATGGCCTGATGGGGAGATAGGTGCGGTAAATGCATCCAGTAGCGCCGGTTAAACAAACAAATTGGTTTTGACAAAAAAAATATCATGGGAAACTAAACAAACTCTTTCGGGAATTGTCGTTGAAACCGAAATGAAATACATGCCGGTGCTCACATCTATTCGTTTGCTCTAGTTATTGCCACCAGTGCATGAGCGACTACCCGTACACATATTGGTTGTTTCTTGTACTAGCTAATGTAAGGTGTTTCCTTTTTGCTGTTATGTCTTTTGATTTTTCTATTTTCTAATATGGAGAATGGTATATCTATATTTTTTGTATAAATCCAAATATTATATCGATTGTTCTACATGAAGATGTATTTTAACAAATAAGTGAATGAACAACAAAGTAATAAATATTGTGCAGCTCTACAATTTTCATATAAATTTTCCGGACTAGTTATTGCTTGCTCTGCTTTTTCATAGGCCTAACAATTTGGTACAAGAATGGGTTAGCTGCTGTAACAATTCGGTATAACATTGGGCTTAGCTGTTGTTGCTTCTTTTCATTATTGCTTTCCATGTTGATTAGAGGAGCTTCACTATATCAAGGTTTTTCATAAATCATGTTTGCTATTGAGCCGATCTGCAAGTAGAATTTAAGAGAAGATAATATTTTTTTTTGAAATGCAGAAGAGAAGAAATTTGAAGTGGTAGTGTACCATGAGTCCATCACCATGTCGAATGCACAGTCTCCCAATGGCTAAAACTATAGCTCGAAACGTTAGTTCATAGCATTTGTAAAGCGGAAACACCGAAGAAAAAAAAGTACAATTAAACATGATCTCTCAAGTAAACTTTAGCAAGAGATGAGCTTCCTCAGGGGTCAGCGCCCCTACAGGCTTTGTCATGCACCTTTGTCATTACCTTCCCTCGGTTTTTGATCAGCTGAGAGAAGACCCGGCCGGCTCCACCCAATTTCAATGAAGATTTGAGGGCAAAATGAACTAATTTCTCCTTCAATCTTCTCCAATCTCTTTGGGGAATTGATCCAAAGGAGCCCTGAGAGAGGTCATGATCAGAAGCTCTCAAGGGCTGATGCTCCAGCTTCTGCCATTAATTGTCTGCTACGCTGATGCTCTCAAGGGCGCCAACGTACTACGTGGCTGCTCGTTGCGATAGATGTCACTTTTGGTCCAGTGTTTGGCATCGTTCCACTAAACTTGAATGAGTGGCGGCTGCTCGATCTGCCGGTGTGCTCATTGACGAGCTTCTCAAGTTTGTGGGCAGGTGTACAGGGCCGGCACTTTAGTTGGCCCGAGGGCAAATGGGACACTATGGGCCTTCACGCTAAATATTATTTTTATTTGTGATGATATCATAAAGAAAAGTAACATATACTTAGGGCCTGTTTAGAATGCGATTTGTTTATATATTTCTACGTTTATATCTATGAAATTTCTGGGTTCCAAACACATCCTCAATAATTCTTGAAAAAAGATGAAAACTAGACTCGATATTTACAAACTAAAAATAGCCTCCTCGAAGAGTCCGCCTTGCAGTTCTTTGCGTCAAATGGATGGTTGTCTACTATTCGGATTGGTTTTCATTAGTCTAAACTTTCGTGTGTCGTTTTAAGCTTCGTGTTTGCTTGTAAGAACTCAGTCGATGTGTTTGGGTGCTGTAACTCTGTAATAATGGCCTAATTCTACATTATGTTGATGAAGCCGGATATTAACTATCCTTTATCTAAAAAAACAAACTAAAAGAGCACCAATGGATCAGAAAAAAGGTGAAGCTAGCATTTTCAAACAAGGTGAAAATAGATCTCAAAACGCATGATAAAAGAAGAAGCGCGGTATCAGACGTCGACAGCTGAGATTTAAAAGTTTGATAAATGCTAGTACAGTAGAAGAGGACAGATTTTTTTGAGCAGAAAGTAGAAGAGGACAGATGGCAAGAGAGAGAAAAACTGAAGCTCCGTAAGCTTGAGGAGGATGAGGATGATGATGATGATGATGATGATATATAAGAAGCCACGTACGTAATTGGCCCAACTTGTATATGGGCGTAATTGCACATGAAACAAGGCCCGCATCCTCATCTTCTTCTCTCTCTTTTTTTTTTTTTTTTGTTAAACAAGGCTGCTTCTTTCTTGTATTGGACTTTTGGTCATCATCGTCACAGGTGCAGTGTGCTGCTAGATGAACTCCTATCCTATGTGTGAGATAGGGCTAGACTCTAAATTACCAGAACATCACATCGTTTTTTTTATAACAAGATAGACTAGAAGCATGTTATAGACTGACAGATGGAGGGGTGAGCGTGTGTAGCTAGATATTACTTTTACTGCATGCTTATAGACTGATAGACTGGTCTAAAACAATATGGCCCTGTTCGTTTGTTTTATAATCTGTATTTTTCAACTTCTTTTTTCAGCCGAAACAGTATTTTTCTCTCTCACAACAAATCAGCCGGAACAGTGTTTCGGTTTATTTTTTCAGCGAAGCGAACGGGGCCTATGTGTGATTAGTTATAAGTACTAGTCTTAGTCTAATAGTATTACTTTTACTACATGGTATAGACTGATAGGAGTGTGCTGGACAGTGGATATTACAGATAACCAACCTAAAGCAAAAGGTGTGATTAGTTGCATGTACTAGTCTTAGCATAATATTTGCTTTTATTGTATGCTTATAGACTGACAGACAGACACAATAGATAACCAGCCTGAAACAAAGTCATGGACAGTGGACAACATATAATTGGCCTCAAACAAAATGACTAAGGCTCCATTTCGTAGGGCCCCTCCAAATGAGCCAGAGCCATTTTGAATAAGTCATAATATGTGGTTCCTCCTTTTTCACTTAAAAACCGCTCCATACCGCTTCTCTCCAGAGCCAGAGCTATAGATATGAGCCATACCAAACGTTTGGTTACGAAGTCGGAGCTACATATATGAGCCCTACCAAACGTTTGGTTACCAGGGGATTTTATAAATCTAGATAAAAAAAATCTCAGAATACTAGAATCTCATCCAAAACGGCGAGATTCTATTGAATTTAACATACAGACACGGAATCTAATGAGCACACTACATTTTTTTAATTAGAATCCACGGGGATTGAAACGGCACCTAACTCTAAACTACTACACTCCTTTGCCTAAACTCTACGTACTGGTAGCAAGTACTGAGGTTGATACCGAGTCAAACTGCAACCTAGGCCAGGTGGTCAAAACCAATTATGTTACGCTATGTGCTAGTACAAGTTAGTTAAGCTGATCTCTTCTCCCTTTCTTTCTTTTGTTTTGCTTGAATTAAAAGGAGAGCACCAATGCAATGGACAAGGGTCCCTATTCTATAGTAACAGGGAAAAAAAGAAGAAGAGCAGCATGCAAAGGTGTTCCAGATATCTTTCTTGTTTGGCTCCAAAAGCCAAACAGTTACTTAGTAGCTGGCAAGCATATATAAACTTTCTTTCAAACAAATAATTCGGAAGAAAAAACTCATTGCTACAACGTATGCTGATGAATGAAGTGAAAGGATCGGAAAGCAGCATGCAAAAGTGTTCCATATATCTTGGCTGGGTCCAAAGCCACATTTTTTGTTTTCAACCTAAAATAACCAAAAATAATTTGAAAACCTAACCCTTTTGGTTTACAATTTCTAAATAGATTGGCACAACCAAAAGGGTAACATCTGTAACTTAATTTTTTGTTAAGTTATTTTACTTAAAAATAGGTTAGAAATAAAAAAAAAATTCCAAACTCACAAGGCTGGTAAGCACAATGGAACACCCCCTCCTCCGGCCCCACATCCACGGAGACACTCGGCCTGTTCGCTGGTTGGTTTCTGGGCTGATAAGCCCGGCTGGTGCTGGTTTGTTGTGAGAAAAAAACACTGTTAGTGATGATAAGCCCTGTCAGGCTGACTGACACACACAACCCCACCACACTGCCACACCCCTATCCCAACAAAAAAAAAGTCATAAACCAAATTCATTACTAGCTGCATTGGCATTGATCTCGAATCCAAGTGCAATCTCAATCTTATGGGCTGAATCATTTCCATACTAAGCTCACCGCCTGACAGTCTTCATACACAAATAAACTAAAGATGAAGCTAGCTAGCAGCTCTTGATGACTGCATGCATGCATGCATACTACTAGTAATAATGGGCTCCAATCATCCCTCGGACAAGCAGTAAACAAGTGGTTTTTGCAGGGTGTCATGTGTGAGTAGTAGGACTAGTGCTCACTGCTCTGCTTCCCCTGCCCTTAACTAGACACTAATCCAGCTTAAGCAATGAGCTAATTAATCCTAACAAATGAAATAATGGGCTCCAATCATCCCTCGGACAAGCAGTAAACAAGTGGTTTTTGCAGGGTGTCATGTGTGAGTCACACAACACAAGCAGCTAGTGTGCCCTGCTCCTGCAGGGTGCAGGTGCACACATATCCAGGCACAAGGCAAGGGCTGGCTTTTGGACTGGAGTCTGGAGGAGCAGACACAAGAGCAAGGCCAAAGGGTGGTCAAACAAAGTTTAACTGCCCTCTTGTGACCCGAATGAATATGCCTACTGCAACTTTTAATAAGCACCCTGTGCCTGTGCTTGTGCTATGCACCCCCAACTGCAGAGCAAGCACATATAGTGAGATAAAAGCATGTGTGTTTAACTTTAACCCCACCGTAACATCAGTCAGTCCAAGGTAAGGTAAGGAAGGAGGGGATAAATCATAAATAAATAAAGAGAAAAGATGAGTGTGAGCTGCCAAGCAAAGCAAACCATCTCTCTCCAATTGGTGGCCGTCCACCGTTGCATCTGCGCTGCCATTGCTATTGCTGCATGTGTGTGTGAGAGAGAAAAACATCAGGCATGGTGATGATGGCTTGGCTGGAGGAGTGCTAGCTGCCATTGCCATGCCATGCCAGGCTTTGAGAAAAGCTTATTAACATTCAATCCCATCAGCTGGTGGTTAGTTAAGTCATAATACTTACTTCACCATGCTAGCCGTCTTTAACCGTTGGGAGTCTTTTTGACCGCCTGCCTTGGCTTTGCTTGCTGCAAGCAGCAAGCTCCCTGGTCCCTGCTCCTGCTTTCCCTGGTAGCTTGGGCACGGCACGGTTCACAGTCAGAAACAAAGCCGGCATGGCATTGAATGAATTTCAATCGAACGCCAGCCAGCCAGCCGTGTTATCAGTTATCACTGCCTGTGCCTGCGACAAAGGCTTGATGAGCATGCGTGACCTGCCAAAGCCAAACGGAACATTTCTCACGGTTTTTACCGCCATCACCGAAGAGAACAATTCCCAGAAAGCATTGAGAAGAGAGTGTGTGTATAAGAAGCTGACTGAAAATTCCATCCGCTACAAGGAAAATCAGTATGAGGATTGACAGACAATGCATAACAAAGAAGATGCCATATTTAGAAAATCAGTATGAGGATTGACAGACAATGCATAACAAAGAAGATGCCATATTTTAGGTAGCTGAAATTTTTCGGTCAATAACTAGTACAATTAAGGAACAACTTACGATTCATAACTTTTTTATAGTTTTCTTTTTCATAGCCAAACAATGACAAGATTACACATTGCTTGAACAACAATAATAACAAAAAATATATAGAAGAAAGTGGCATAATAAGAGGCATCCGGTGTTGTGTGGCAGTACCGTCCTTCTGCCTCCTAACAGCAACACAGAACACACACCTGCATCAATCACAAAAGAAAAGGCGAGGAGGGGAGGGGCCAAGTGTTGCCAAACCAAAGCCCAAAACTAATCACAACGCCAACCAAACCAAATAAGGCCAAGCGAAAGCAAGATGATCCTGACCGATTCATCATCATCATCACATCCACTGCTATTTCTATCATCACACTACACTACAGCAGCTTGCAACAGAGAGAGACCCAACATAACCTCTCCTCGTGCCAGATCACTGCAATAACTTGCCTGCCACAAAAACTTGGCTGCATTTGCTCTTGCATTCCATGTCTCTCCATGACTGCATCCACCATTCGTCGTCCCGGCCCTGCTCAACAAACGCACACCGACAGCAGTGCACCGCCCAAAACCCTATAAACCATCTCCCATCTCTCTGGCTCATCTAGCAGACTTCCCCTGTCTTCATCCTTCCGAGATTCCAATCCTCTCTCCTCCCTCCCTCCGAGTCCGAAAACTTCGACGAGCTCCAAAGCTGGCACTGGCATTGCGGCAATGGCGAGGCCACCCACAATGGTGATCCAGGACGACTACATCGACATGGACCTGACCCCGGCGGCCACGCCAGTGCCACCGCCATCCTCGCCCCGCTTCGAGTTCCAGAGCGCCGGCGCCGGCGACGCCAGGCACAGGGAGGCGGCGTTCGCGTCCCCGGCGGACGAGCTGTTCTACAAGGGCAACTTGCTGCCGCTCCACCTGCCGCCGCGGCTGCAGCTCGTGCAGAGGCTCCTCCAGGACCAGGAGCAGCAGCAACCACCGCTGCGAGGGGTGAAGAGGGACGCGGAGTCGGATGCCGCGGCGGCGGCGGCGGCAGAGGGCGGAGACGCCGACGCCGCCGGCAAGGTGTGCGCCGCCAAGAAGCCGTCTTGGGCCAAGAAGCTCAAGGTGGTGAAGCGGTGGGCGTCGAGGGAGTACATCCGGTCGCTCTTCCTGGCCAGGCCGCCGTTGCCGAGCGACATCGTCGCCGCCGCCGACGGCGGCACCAGCGCCAGCGCCAGTGGGCACGGCATCGGCATCGGCAGCGTCAGCGCGAGGGGGAGCGTCCTGGAGCAGGAGGAGGCGTGCCAATGCCACCACCGCAAGTCCTTCTCCGGCATCATCCGGCGAGTGCGCCTCGTGGCGACCAACAACAAGGCGCTCGGGACCTCGCCGCTGTGCTCCTCCTCCTCTTCCTCCTCGTCGTCCACGCCGTCGTGCGGCAACGCCAACGGGTTCTTCTTCCGGACGCCGGCGCCGGCGCCGGCGCTGAAGCGGAGCAGCAGCGCCGGGTCGTCCGAGGAGGGCGCCATCCAGGGCGCCATCGCGCACTGCAAGCGCTCCCAGCTGCCGCAGCCCGGGATGGTGGTCTCGTCGGCGGCGGCGGCGGCGCGGAGGAGCGTCAGCGACGTCATGTTCTACTCGGTCACCAACACGCCTAGAGCCTCCTCCGTGGCCGCCGGCGAGGTGGCGCAGGAGAGGAGGCAGGAGATGTGCAGGGGCTGATGCCATGGTGGCTCATGCCATGCCGCCATGGATCAATCAAAGCAACATTCTTTTGTTTCATTTTTGGTTTCTTTTGCTTGTGAAGATTATGAGCAATGTGCTGTGGATTGCTCCTGTGATGATGAGGACGCAATGTGCTGTGATTGTTTCCCCACTTCTCTTGATCTTCTCCGAGTCAAGGATCTTCTCACTTGAGCTGTTCATTCATCCTGGTGATTCATTGACGTTCTTTTATTTCTTTTCCCCAGCTGCAGCTCATCCTCTGACCTCTGTTGCATTCTTCTTCTCCACCTCCATCTCCATCTCCATCTCCATCTCCAAGGCTCTGGTGCTGCTGGTGCTAGTGCTCACTGACTCACATTGTTGGGGGAGGTAGGGCAGGGCAGCACAGCACGGCACAGTGTCTGAGTAAATGGTGCAAGGGTGGCACTGACTTGGTGGCAGATTTGATTCCGCTCCCAAGTACACGCAGCTTGACCATACTCCTCTGTACAAATCAGTCTACTCCTATTTGCCGTAGTCAATGGGGATCCAGTGCTTGCACCAACCCTCTGTACTCACTCCGTAGATACAGTGTACGTAGAGGTAGAGCACTCCAGTACAGACAGGCCTCCAGCTCACTGTAAGAGCTTACTTAAGCAAAAGCAGAGCTCTCTGCATCTACCTCGCCGCTCCCGTGGCTTTGAAACAAAGCTTAGCTTTGGAACAGTCGTCTCTTCTGCTCCATGGAATTGCTTGGTCTTTTGCCAACATGAAGCTTTTAAGGAAGAACCCTTGGCGAGCAAGATTACGGTCCCATCGCATGGATCATCCAAATGATGCCTCTGCGAACAGATCAGCAAAAGAAAAGCAGCGTCAGGCAAATCTGGAATAGATTAGGAATGCAGTTCTGGTATAGTGGCATCTGTATTTTCCCCTCTCTTTTTTTCTTTGTGAAAGAGCCAAACCATTTGAATGTTCGTGCTCCTTTTCAGATTTATTTACCGGTGCTTGTGAGACAAAGATGCGCCTTTTTGTATTTGTGGGGGTGCCAGCAGCCAGCCTGAACTGGAACAGCTGCAAGCCGAGTAGAGCAGCATTGGGCACTGAAAAGCCGAGCGCCTTTGACCTGAATGATCCCCAGCTCTCAGCTCTCCTCCACCCCCACCATGGCTTGTCCTGTTATCTGATAGAGATGTGTCATGCAATCCAACAAGCACAAGAGGCCCAGGCCATGAGCACGGGCAGGCACACGAGACGAGCCACATATATAGAGAGCTTTGCAGACCACAATACAAACTGCAGTCCAGAGATTCCTTCACCGTCCATCCCTCTGTGAGTGAGTGAGTGAGTGACTGGCTGCTGTTAAAAGCCACAGGCTTTGAGCACACCATCAGCAGCAGAACCAGATGGATGGAAATGGAATAGAGCAAAGCATTTGCCTGCAGCAAGGTAACAAACCAAAGAATCTTCTCAGAGGTGAGAAGGAAAAGGCAAGCGAGCTGAGCTGGGATGGCCCTGTTAAAGTGGCCAGCCACTGAGAAAAGGTTTCACCTTTCTGTTTCTGGTGTTCAGGAGGAGGGAGAAGAAAGGAAAGGCGAAGGAAGGAAGGAGAGAGATTTGCAATCACAACAAACTGGAAAAAGGGGGCAAAAGCCTGGGTGTACTATCAGCACCACTTTGGTCCGTGTGCATACGTCCTTAGCGAATAACTAGGTCATCATCGTTTAGAATCATTGTCGTCTACTGGACTGGACATGCATGAACAAGTTCGACTACCCCAGTTCCAAATGATGAAGGGCAAAGTTCAGAAATACAGTCCTAGACCCAAGGGCAATGGGGGCAGGGGTTTGTTCAAGATGGTTGCAAGACACAGCCATTAAGTTGGCAGATGGAGCAGAAGAGCATTGGGTTTGCTGCTAAACCGTTTGCATCTGCTATGGTATGGCTATGGCTGCAGCGGCAGGCTCCAGGAAGAGCAGCAGATGGTTTGACTGGCAGGTCAAAGATGGGAGTATAAAAATGCATATAGTAACACTGTAATAGATCAGGCATCACTGAACAAATCGACCAAGGTATGGTACTGTACTGTATTTTATTTCTTTAGCAAAAGATAAAAAGTTACACATCATGGCAGCAGGATAGGTATCACTGCTTCATTGCCACATGGCCAATTGCATGTTAGTATATTATATTTGCCAAATAAAAACGAATGTGCTACAGTAGCCCCAAAATCCAAATTCGCCCAACTAAACAAGGGCTTATTTCTTTGCAAAGATACAACAACATGGCAGCAGGATAGGTATCACTGCTTCATGCCACATGGCAAAATGTTAGTATATTATATTAAAAAAAAAGGCGTACCCAGTGCAGAGAGCTCCCGCTCTGTGCGGGGTCTGGAGAAGGGTGTTGTCTTTCACAGGCGCCTGGGACCTTCCGGTCACAGGCGGTAAGACTCTACCGCTTGCACCAGGCCCGCCCTTCTATATTATATTATAGAGACGAAAAAAAAAACTGAGTACTAGTATGAGTTTTTTTACCATTGAAAGACAACACATCTGACAAAAAAGGATTCGTACCTGGAGTCTGGAGGCAGGAGGCACCAACTTCATGGCTTGTTTGATTCCTGGATCCAAACCGGCAAACATAAGAATATTTGATAAAATTTTGTTAGGAGGTGCCTCCAAAACACAACAGTAGGCTGGGTTTATCTCTGGTGAGACATGCCAAATCACTGCTTGGCCACTTTCTGAACTTGCAATGACAGCAGGAACAGTGTTGGTTCCTACCGGAAACATTTGCCGGTTCTTCAACCAAGGCACCAACAATCCCTTCCAGGCTAGGCTAGTCACGTGCAGGTTTTCACATTGTAAAGCTGGATGGTTGATTGAACTCAAAACTACTCTGAATTTTCAAGCTGGCACATCCAGAAAATAGTCCTCCTAAATACCCATCATGAAAGAATCTGGGATCCATGCTATAATTGTGTTGCATTTGTCTAGTGTTCAAAGAGAAATACAGTACAAGTAAAGAATCATCTGTATCTGTCTGCAACCTGACTGTAGTGGGGTAAAGTCATCTACTGAATCAATCTACTGACATAGGAAACCAGAAACCCAAATGAGGATAGCATTTAGCACACCTTTTGCTCTTCAGTGTGTGTTTGTTCATGGGGAATTAGGAGACATGCATAACAGGACAAGCAAGCCTCGGTAGAGAACTAAATACAACAGCCAAAGTTGAGCTAGATCAAACATGGAAGGGGCCCATATGTAGGTTGCAACGCCAGGTATGCTGGACTACTTTTCTCAGCACGACTCCCTAGTTTGTCAAAAAAAAATCAAATAAGAACACCATCATGTATACCAAACTATATATATTGCAGAATAAGCTGGCTAAGGAAAACAGCAGGGGATTTATTTTATTAGCTAATCTGATGGGACATATAATAGAATAAGAGATTGTGTGATCTCCCAGTGTCTCTTTTACAGTTAGAATTTAGAAACCTACAAATACTATACAACAAACTGTCGTTGATAATGTATTCTCAGGTTCCAGTTCTCCATACAGAAAACAAACTCCGAAGTAAAGCTTTCACTGACTCCAATAGTCCAATATACAGCCTACCTAGTATATAATGTGAACGGGAGACCAATCTGCTTAACAATGTTCCCTCCTAATTTCCTAGAGCGATTAGATTACAGATCACTACTCTGAGCTTAAGTGTGAACACTGGTTAAGCCCTAGGTGGTTTGCACTTCTAAAATTATGTTCCTAAAATTTATATTTCTCCAGTACGTAAATTCTGGACTAACTGCTCTTGACAGGATGAGACTTATGTCTGCTGAAGTAACCTGAGGTCCACTCCTGCTGTCAAATTCTGCATCATCTCCCTTGAAAGGGAACAACCGCTTCAAAGTGATTTGCATGATTGTATCTAGCCATTGATATTCATTACGTATGCATCTCTAAGTTTGTGCTAGGAGGCAAGCCTGAGTAATTGGGGCTGTCAAACATAGCATTCCATCAATCAAAGTAAACATCACATCCCCAGAGTAAAGCTATTTAACAAATAAATGTATACACCAATTTTTGTTCATTAAATTTCATATTGCATTAGAAGGCATCTCTATGTCAAACAGCTATAGTTATCATAAGGAACTCCTTAAGTTTTAAGGTATTTTTACAGGCTGTCAGTTTGTACTACAGAGATACAATCAAACAGATGAAGAGGATGCTAGCTCGAGAAAATTATAAAAATCATAAAGGAGGACAAGTGGCACATACTATCAAAAGGCAACAATTTAAAGGGCAACACATGCACCATTTTCTTATTTACCAAATTCCATATTGAGCTATTCGGCTGATGGTTTCTGCGGCTAATAAGTCGGCTGATGTTGTTTTGTTGTGAGAGAAAAACACTGTACCATCAAACAAACAGGGGACACTGGAACTGAAGTGATGGTAAGGACCTCTATAAGTACACTGGTGTTTATACAGGTTGTCAGTTGGTACACTTGGCAGTGCTACAGATGAACAGGATGATAGCTCATGTAAAATTTAAACCATCTTAAAAGGGGATAATTGGCACATAACACCCAAAAGGAAGTAAACCTATGTGAGGATTTATTTATTGTACAAGCAACTTGGTATAAGAAGCCAAACCACTTATACCTATTGTCAGTTAATACAGGTGACAAGAATGGTTGCTCAAGAGAATTAAAAATATCTTACAGGGACTCAGGGACAGTTTTCATATACTATTACTATTGAAGAGGAAACCAACTCTGTGATATCAATGAAGAGGTAGGAGCACAATCAACACTCATCACGAGCTTGAGTTAGCCTGACGACAATCTGCATAGATTGCAAAAAAATATAAGAAGACAATAATCAAATGAAACAATCATTCTTGCACTGTGGATGCAATGTTGTTACCTTGGTTTTATCATTAACACCGATATAGTCGGATAGCTTCTGGTCCATGGCTAGCTCTTTCCCAGCCCACCAAATCTGTATTCTCTCATGCTTGTTGCCTGGGAATCGCATAGAAGAAAGAATTGATTGTAAGCAGAGGCCATTCCATGTCAAATGATCTTTTTATTTTTCAACTTTGAAGCTGGAAACAGTTGATATCAAGGTTTATGCACTTGATGAAAGATTGAAATACAGGTGCAACAAAACTAGTAGAAAAAGAAAAGTGCATATGGATGTTCATTTTGTTTGTCTTCTGAAAACTGCATCTATCTATGTTGTGCTACCTGATGATGACTCTTGCAGAGACAACGCCTCTGGAGGTTCTTGTAGAGCAGTAGCGCATTTCTTCTCAATGTTCCTGATATGTTCCCTTAGAGCACGAGGGGACAGGAATCTGTTACGCAGCACTTGTTCCTGTAAGAAAATTCAGAGTCCTGTCAAAATCTCATTCAGTGGATAGGCCCAGAATGTTCAGTACAAGTGCTAAATCAGATTGACATACATCCTGTGAACAAGTTCCAACTACTCGTACAGAGTAGTGTTTACTGTTTAACCGATGATGAACAGAACGAAATGTTACTTGTGCTTCCTTTTCCCAATCCAAAATAGTGATCATGTCATTCACTTTTCAATTTTCACAAGCACAATAAAATGGAAGTGGTCTCGAGCATGGTAGCACTCAACCGGTGAATGTGTGTGCATGGTACTCCAATCTGTAGAATTAGCACACGTTTTATTGTCGAGATCTAGCTAATTATAGAAACATAAGGGCCTGCTCCGTGCTTTGAGTGACACAGTAGATCAGTCTTATCATATACTAGTAGTAGCACACATTCTTTCTACTCAATCATACAAGATAAAATGTAATTTGAATGACAGAGTAGTAAACCAGATCGATAGAGAATGACTCTCAGGGCCAGTGCAATGTACCAACACTGGTGAACAACCTAATACGTACTTGAACCCAAATCAACAAGCAGCAAGAGGTTGATAATGATAATGATAAACGAGATCAAGCGCAATTCGCATCTAATTCAAACTAAGCATAAGTTCTCGCGCAGCAGAAGCGTGCGAGAAAACAGTGAGGGAGTGGGGAAAACCTGACCTTGGAAGCGTAGGCCTCGGCCTCGTCCAGCGCCCTCTCGAGCTCGCCCGTCGCAGCATCACCAGCACCCGCGCACCTCGCTGCGGATCGCAGAACCGGCCACGCCGCGTCAGTACGAGGACGACTCGACCGGCGTCCCCCCGCAACGGGAGCTTAAGACTAGGACGACGCACGGGGTCTCTGGGTAGAGTCTCTCACCTCGGAGGCGGCGGCAGAGGGAGAGGAGGGCGGCCTGGAGGCCCGCGAGCGCGCCGAGGGCGGCCGCGACGTCCGCGACGGCTGCGGAGGCGGCGCACTCGTACAGCAACTCCGTATCCTCGTCCCCGTCCTGCGCCGGAGAGGAGGAGGAGGAGGAAGCGGAGGCGGGCGCCGCCGACTTCACGTGCAGCACGACCATCTCGCCCCGAACCGAAGGTTCCAGAAGCTTCGGCTCGCTCCTGGGGAGACGGAACGGAACGGAAACGGCCACCACACGGGGCGGCGGTCAGGGGTTCATTCAATTTGTAGAAGTCGTCCGCGCTGATCTTGGCCGCACAGGGCCGATCCAACGGTCACTAGGCACCCCTGAGAAAATGAACGATCTCTAGCCTATATAAAAGCTTGTGTATAATGTGTTGTACAAGTTGATTGCAGAAGTCTTTGGCAAATCGTCTCAAATCCATATCTCCTCCCAGATATTTAAAAATATTCTTACATGAGCCATGTTTAAAAATAAAATATTCTTACTGAAACTCCAATAGCAACAAAGCTACTGAACTTAATCGTGATTAAGGCCCCGTTCGTTTCTCTTATAATTCATCTTTTTCAGCTTGTTTTTCCAATTAGAATAGTGTTTTTCTCTCACAACAAATCAGCCGGAACAATGTTTCGGCTTATTTTTTCAGCGAAGCGAACAGGGCCTAATTGTCCCCATCGTAACACGGAACTTGATAAGGGTCCTCGATATGATTATACCTCGACTAAAAACCTAGTCATTCGATAATTGAACCACTAATCATGATAAAATCGTCCAATAAGAGCATCCGGACAACTCAAGAAATTTGTTCGGTGGGATTGGGAAGAATTTAGCCCACACCCTTAACGGTCCAGACACTTTCTGTGAGAGTGAGAAAAACCATAGCTCGGAGATGGTCTTCTTTTTGTGTTTGCTTCTGCATCATTTTAGACTTTTAGTGAACCTTTTTACCCCCTTATGCTGGTAAGATCTGCCACCCTGGATAAATGGTCAGGCTAGCGTCCGGACACCCGCGCCTGCCCGCGTCCCATGCTGCTCCTCCCTGTATGCACACTTGTGCCTGCATCACGTGGGGGCTGCGTCGCTCCTTTTCCCATGCTTGCGCGCGCCCACGCGGGGGCGGCGTCTCAATCTGCGCTCGCTTCGTTTCTAGCACTCTGTCGTTCACGCCCCCTCCGCTCCCACACGCATGCACGTGGGCTCAACAGCTGCAACAGGTGGCTACTGGTAGTGGGTCCCATTTGCAATATGTGCAACACCAGATCTAGTTTTGCAATATCTAGATGAAATAATTTACAACATACGTCTAAAACACTAGGAAAACATGTTTGTAGCCATTGCAAAACATATGCAACATCCTGATCAACACTTGCAACATATGTATAAAACACTTAAAACATACGCTTGCAACATGCATGTATATGCAACATCCAGATCTACTTTTGCAACATATAAATGAAACACTTGCAGCATACGTCTAAAACAGATGAAACATTTAGGACGTACACTTGAAAACACCATTGCAACATCCCGATGTATTTTTGCAACATCGATATAAAACACTTGCAACATAGCTCTGAAATATTTGAAACGATTGAAACACATGCTTGCAACATGCAGTTTCAGCGCAACATCTCTTTGATGCTTGGAAGAATGGATCCTCGTCGGCGTGTGGAGTTCTATCCCGGCCGTCACGGGCTGCGCGCGGGTGAGTTCCACCTCGGCTACGGCGAACTGGGTAGGCAAGCGCGAAATGTGTGTGGACGGGCTCTACCCGGGCTGCCATGAGCTTCACATGGGCGAGCTCCACACCTGGGCGTAGCGAGCTAGGCAGGCGGAGGCGGAGGTCTTCCTGGCCTCTGACCAGGCTTGCGACCCCCATGGTGGAGGCAGTAGCTGTCTCCCTCACCACGGGCGGGCGCACGCAGCGCAGCCGGTGGAGCTCAAGCGTACGCGGCTAGCGGCGGCGCTCGACGCTTGTGCGTATGTGGACAGCGACGGTGCTTGTGCGGACACGGGGCCTGTTCGGCAGGACTGAAAATACTGTTTCGGCTGATTGTTGTGAGAGAAAAATACTGTTCTGGCAGAACGTGAACAGTGATTTTATGAGGTGGCTGGCCAGCCAGCCGAACACGGCCGCGGGCGCTAGCAGAGTCCGTGTGTGTGTGACCGAAGGGCGGGCGGTGCAGTGGAGCCGATACGAATGGGGAAGATAAGATGTCGCTTTTTTTATTTTTTGAAGAAACCGTGTATGTCGATGAGGGAAGCAGATCTGTGGGCCAGTCCACAGCCCAGCTAGCCGTGTCTCGACTGACCGACACGAAACGGACACCCATGGAGCATTAGCGTTCTTTCATCTTGTAATAATGTTAATTATTGTTGAGCGACTCCGGATGAGATGAGCCAAGGGCTGTTTGGTTGCCTGCCGCTGTGCGCCACACCACACATGTGACTACCACCGAGAGCTAGGCTGGTGTTGGTTCTGTGCCGATGTGTGCCACGCCACAGACTGCGACGGCCACCAGTTCTACGGCTACTGTTTGCTTTCTGTCAAAGCTATGGCTGCCACAGCTACTCCTAGCACAAAATCGCGCCACACAGTGGCACTAGAATTCGTTGCCTCTCCTTCGGTGCTGCCGTTGTTGCGACGGCAGCGCCACACCTAGTGACGGCGGCAAAGTCGCAGCCCAACAAAACTAGGAACTGGTTTTCAGAAGGAAAAAATCCATTTTAACTTCCTGAACTATCCTCAAAGTCTAGTTTTCCTCCCTGAACTTCAAAACCGGTTAAACCACCTCCCTCAACTTTTCAAACCGTTCATTTTACCTCCCTGACCCGGTTATAGGTGGTTTTCATATGCTATAAATTAATTACAGAAAAGCATAGATATAAAGTTACTGCAAAAACTTTGTACTAAATCATACCATATTATATGTTTACTGTGTAGATCTACTAATGTGGAGTCCAACAAAATTAGATTTTCTATTTTAGGATTTTTTTTATTTGCTATGATTTTTCAAATATTGAGCCAAAATAAATAAAAAAGAAAAAGACAAAACCGTCTTTGAAAACCATGATGGAGTTAAAATGAATGATTTTAAAAGTTAAGAGAGGTGGTTTACTCGGTTTTTGAGTTTATTGAGAAAAACTAAACTTCGAGAATAGTTCGTGAGGTAAAATGGACTTTTTAAGAAGGTAACATATCATGTGCAAACCAATCGACCTGTACAAACTTAAAAACTACCAATCAGGACCATTAAATGTTGATCCAATGGATGGGGTGAGGGGGCTTAAGCGTAAAAAAAGGCCAAGCAGGGTGGAGGGCTTAAGCGCAAAAAATCTCATCTCTTACGTACCCCATCCATTGGATCAGCATCTAGTGGCCTTGGATCGATAGTTTCTAAGTGGTCCTGAGATTGATTGATTTGTACATGATACGTTGCCTTTTAAGAAGAGACTTTTCCCTGTGTGCCATTATAAAAGATCGTAATTCCCTATGTGTTCCTGGAAAAAATCAGCGGTCTTCAGCACCACTACTCTAACTTTTTCGTTTCCTCCATGCCACTTCCGTCAGTTTAGCCTCTAACACCGTCAAACTGCAGGTGTGAAAAGACGGAAATGCCCTTAAGTTCAAATATGTTATTAATTTTTTAAGCATCTTAACGACTTCAAATGAAAAAACTCAAAAGTAAAAAGTTGTAGATCTCGTCGAGATCTATAATTTTTATACAAAAATTATTTTCATTTAATTCCGTAAAAAAATATGATTTGATATGATTAATATATCTTAGAAAAATTATATTTTTTTGCGGAATTAAATGAAAATAATTTTTATATAAAAATTATAGATCTAGTTTTGAGTTTTTTCATTTGAAGTTTTGAGTTTTTCATTCAAAAATAAGTAATAACATGCTTGAAAAAAATAATTTTTGTCTTTTGACACATACATTTATTTTTATCTTCCAAACTAACGGAAGTGGCATGGAGGACACAAAAAAAATTAGAACAGTGATGCTGAAGACCGCTGAATTTTTTCAAACACCGCGATCTTTTATAATGGCACGCGGAAAAAGTCTCTTTTAAGAAAGGCCAGCAAGCCCCCGCCGACACCAGCCCAGCCCATCTTGAAGACTCCAACCCGAGGCGGCCTCGGTTGCTCTCGCCGTCTCCCGGCGCCGCATCCCGACTCGGCGACTCCGACCCCAGATCCCGGTGCCCAAGCGTCGTCACTCGTCAGGAGCCAGGATAACATTTGTAGGTCCGGCTCTTCTCCTTGTTTTTGCTTAGGTAGTAAGTTCCTTGTTTTTGCTTATGTAAGCATTAATTAAGCAAGTTGAACATATAGATTATACTGAATTTGGTGGAAAGGAGTTCACAAGCTTAGAAACATGTAGGTTGTGCTAAAATATCCTCCTCATGTTCATTTGTTGCTTACTAGAATATTTATCCAATTATTAATACACTTTCGAGTTTATAAAGATGATTGACATAAAATTTACTCCTTTGCCCAAAATGTCGAATTTAGTTTTAATTCCGTATGTATATATTAATTGTACGAATACTCAGAAAGATGATTTTTTATTTATTTATTTAGCATCATTACATGTTCAAATGAACTTGTTCCCGGTTACTAGTGTATTTAAAAAGTACTCAAAATTAGGCTTGGTGTTAAGTCAGGACAAATTTTGCATAGATAGGTCACATGAAAATTAGCCCCCCTCGCCTCAATCCTGGATCTGCCACTGTTTTTTGAGTTTCAGGGCATAAACCCCTGCCCATTTGCACTGCAATCAGGACAAAGCTGGGATTACAAACAAATGAACCCACTACCGAAAAAAAAACACTTGTATAACTGTATAAGCATTACTTTCCAATCTCAGACTAGTGTCATATTTAGACTGCATCTTACTATTTTTTTTCTTTTTGTTTGCAGTTTAGCTTAATTCGTACAGGATGCTCTATTCTGGCGTTGTTGCTCCGTCCATTATCTGTTGGAGTTGGTTCCTGCTGGAATAGTCTCCTGACATGATCATAGGATAGAATCACTATAAAATTTATTCTGTTTTAAAATTGAAAACTCAAAACAGATACCATTTTTGCATTCAGTTGAATTGAGCACCTAGATCTCAGTGTATATATTGTTTTGTTTTTCAGGCAAACAGAGATGTCACAAGGATGCATATACTTTGTGCTTTGTTTAGTTAATGGAACAGAGGAGCCATGACAGCAACATTACTGCATGTTTCTCTCTCCATTCACATATCGTTACTGATGAACGCAAAACAGATCAGGTTAAATCCATCTATCATACTCAAAATTTTGCAAAATTTAGAACCAAATCGAAATCATACTTTGACATTGAATAAATCCACAATTAAGTTTTTTTACTGATCAAAAGGCTTGCTAAACCATTTAAGTTGCTGTAGTTGAATATTATAAACAAAACTCATCATACCATCATATCCCAAATTAGAATAAAAAATCATAGAAATCGAGATTAACTTAATCCTCTCCAATAATCCCTGCAACAGTATTTCTGTTTATTCATACCAATTTTCCATTTCCATCATACTCTCTACAGTTACATAAATCTGTAGGGCTTGACTTTTCGGGTGCCTGCTGATGGCGCCTCTCCATGCAGATTCTATTTTGGACCCCTGACCGCATTTGGCACATATATACAAGGAGATCTTTTCGAGGCTAGCAAGGTGCTCGATGCCACTAACTAGATTGTCATCTTGCAGTTCCATTGCACCTTGTCCAAGGGCAAGTTGTATCTCCAGTCTCTGTAGCTGCGGCATTGCGGCTGGCTCAAAAGTCAAGCTTGGCAGCTCACCACAAAAGAATTTGAAGCACTTGAGGCTGTGGAATGTTTGGGGGTGGATAATGATGTTGTTCTCTGGGATTGTTTTAGCTCTTAACTGGAGGTAGATGAGGCAGGGCAACTGTGCAAGAACCTGGACATCATCACTTGGGAGCTCCTGGACCTCTAGTTCAACATGCGCCAACCTGTCTGCATGCGCAATCCAATTTGGGACCTTGGGCATTGTTACGCCGTACAAGCTAAACCTCTGCAGATGCCGTGGGCGTGCCAAGCAGTTACTCCAGAATTGTGCTGATGGGGCCCTGGCACTTGACACAACCTCAAAAGCTAGATTGCAGAGGTTGCTGTTCCCAAGCTTGTTAAGAGAAGTTGACAAGATTGTTGTCTTACGATTATTTTCTACGCCATCTGGCCTTGAGTAATTGTACATCATCACCTGAAGATTTCTAAGATTGGTCAACTCACTGAGATCTCTGATGCACTCTGTGGAATTAGAACAAAAGTCAAACCAGAACAAATCACGTAGGTTGCACAACTTGCTAAGCCCATTTTTGAAAATTACACATCCTGGTAAACTGAGATGCCTTAGAGATGACAAGGAACTAAAATCTGATAGTTGTTCACTAGGATTATCCAACCATGGCTGGGACATATCTAGGGTCATCAAATGCTTTAGCTTTCCAAATTTCTTTGGCAGCTCGACGCGAAAGCCCCAGACCCTCAGATACCTCAGCAGAAAGAGGTGATTTATAGCAGACACATCAAGGCATATAAGGTCCATAGAAAAGCTACGTTCCATGTCCAAGACTCTCAAAAGCTCAAATTTCGAAAATGGAGGCATACAATCAGCCACACGCAAGGAAACATATGTCCGGACTTGTGATGCACTCATACTCTCGACTGTCAGGGCCATGTCTCTGTTATGGAACTGATGATGGCTGATCCGGCGAATCTGCGAAGCTCCATTCATGGGGAACTTCCTATCGATTATAGTGATGAAGTTTTCCTCTTTGCACTTCGATATAATAAGCTCAAGCATTAGGTCGTGAACTTGACATGTCAACACCTCACCAAAATCATCTTCATTGAAGCAAGGTTGGATCATACTTCTGTTGATGAGTTCATTGAAACAGCTTACAGCAGCTTCCTGCATATCTAAACCATGCTTTTCCCTAACAAATCCTTCAGCTATCCATTTTCTTACCAATTCATACTTGCGGATTTGATAATCTTCAGGATACGTACCAAGATACAACAAGCATGTCTTGAGCTCATGTGACAGGTCATTGTAGCTAGGACTTAACACATGCCTCATCCATTCTAGTGTAGGATTTGTGTACAACTCGGAACCCAACGAATTATGTATCTTCTCCCATATGTCAATGTGCATGTGGTTAGCCAAAAGGCTAACAATACTAGTAATTGCCAATGGTACCCCTTTACATTTCCTTAACATGTCATGTGAAATCTCTCTGAATTGCTCAGGACAACTATCTTCTGTATCAAATAGCCTTTTGAAAAACAACCTTCTTGAGTGAAGCTCATTAAGAGGTTGCATCTGGTATACATGGCCTTGACTTAGAAAGCAACAAGATGCACCAACGTCTTGAATACGTGTGGTAGTTATCACTCTGCTGGCATTATTATTTTCCACAAAAGCGCACTCAATAGTGCGCCAATCCTTGATGCTCCATAAGTCATCAATTATGATGAAGTACCTGCAAAGTAAGTAACTTTTGAGTCTATCCCGTTTGCAACACAATATGATGAAGTAAATATGAGTAATACGTCACTTAAATAAGAAGAAACCTTATGTTTTTGCCATTTGCTTGAACAACCATTAATTTGATATTTGCAAGTAGCTGCGCACAAACAAGATAAACAAACGGTGACGATGCCACCATAAAATAAAATGTCAAATCTTAAATAGCTACTGTATTAGTCATTTAAAAATTAAAACAATTGTGAAATCTTAAATATCTTGTAGCCTAATAAATAAACAGTTCATGTCAAATGATAAAACGATAATTGAAACAGTTCATGTAGAATACGAAGTTGGTATATACACAGGATGAGGCATCCAAATATAATAGACAACACTAATCCACAATGGCAGAGGCCTTAAATTTCTTATAAGGACAAACAAAACCTAGATATGTTTTTTGTGCGTAGTAAGTTTATGTGAGAGCTTAAAACTCATCACAAATTTGGAAATGTACAAAATCATTCTTGGTAATTAATTTTCAAATGAATTAAACTTATTTTCTCAATGAATAAACGAGAGAGCTATTTATAAGTTTCAGAAAATAACTTGGTAATAAGTTTACATGTTGCTACTATTAGATAACAATGGGAAAATGTAGACATTTGAGACAGCCAATTCGAAATATAACACTAAAAAGTTTACAGAAAAATATATTACCATAAACTCCAGATGAATACATACCTCTTATCGTTGAGCGTAGCTCTTAGTATCTCGATAAGCTTTTGGACATCATCTTCCATTTCCGTGTCACGATATCCAACTCCTGACAGTATTCCCTTGAGAATCTTTGGCATGTGAGGAGTTCTAGAGACGGTCACGAACGCCGTGCACTCAAACTCATTCTTGATTTTAGAGTACACTTGGTTTGCAAGAGTTGTCTTGCCAAGGCCACCGAAACCGATGATGGATAGCACTTCAAATCGTCGAGAACAATGACGGTCATCTTCTCCCATCAACCGTTGGATGATTTCCTCTCGTGGACCATCAACGCCCACAAGCCTCTTTGCATCCTCAAACAGTGCAGGCAGCCTTGGATCGACTTCCACCACTCTAGACTCTGAGATGGATCCATCGATCCTGTATCTCTCTCGGCTTTGACTCTGCTCCTCGACACGAGCTCTGAGCTCCTGAATCTTGTCACCAAACTGGTAGTGCAGTCGCAGCTCCCTAACCTTGCCTACAATCCTGCGAAACAAGCCGATGTTGTCGTCGTCGTCTTCTTGGCCGAGCTTGAGCATGAAGATGTCAATGGAATCCTCGATATCGTAGGCCATCTCGCGAACGTTGTCTCTCCACACCTTTGTTTGGGCATCAAGCTTCTCCATGTCTGCTAGCTTCTCTAATGCGGCGTTCATATCGGTCAGCTCACGGCGGAGGAACTCGATATCCCTTCGGACTCCCTTGCGTTGCTTGTACTGGTCAGTGAGCAGGTCCGCGCCCCAGTGGCAGCACTCACCACCATGCCCGCCATCTCGATCAACCTCGCTCGTAGCTAATTAGGGGAGGGGATGTGATGATAGTTTGGGGAATTCTTCTGTTGACTTTCAGCTTCTCAAGGATGAGTCTGTTTGCCCGCTGGCAACGGCACAATTAAGGATGAAAACTACCATCGCCTGTTCTTTAGACCACAGAATCCTCACCCACGGGCCACAACCTGCAATCAACGACTCAGACCACCAGACCACAGGAGGTGCCGACGTTCAGCGGCTCTCGGAATTGAAGAAGCAAGCAAGCACTTGGTCGTCGTGATCGTGACTTGCGACATTCGCATCGTCTCAGACTTTTAGCATCAAAGTTGACACTCTCTAACATTAGCCCCTGTTTTCATTCATTCACAGCATAAATTTTTAGCATTTGAACGGCCTTGAAAGTTTTTTTTATGGTTGGAGTTATTTGCATCAAAATAAATCCTATGTGGTGATTAGTATATCTTTTTTATTGTGCTAACTATTCATGCTTCATGAACACTCACTCAAGTAACACCAGCAGCAATCGGTTGTCAAAGTTCAACACAAATTATGCATGGGTCGTTTGCACCCCCTTTTTTGTGGCAGAGTGATACCAATGTGATGTGAATGCGAGCTGTTTGTTTTGCTTATTCTATAGGCTTCATGGGAGCTTGCAGATATGGCATTTTGTGTTCGGGTGCAGCAAAATTTGCTCATAAGCTGGGAGCCTGGGAGGCCTACGGATATCGGAATCAGACACAGCCAGAAACAAGGACGGACTTCTGTAGGGTCTCTTATCAAGCTTTTCTCGGATGGCCTCCAACATGTCTGAACTCAAGTGGGAAAATTAGTGATCTCATCAGCCGACTAAATTTGGTATCAACATACACTATGTTCTACACCATAGGATAATTCTGTTTTCACTAGAAACCCTGGAGTGCAGGAATGCGAACGGTACTATAAACTAGTATTCTTATAATCAGTATAAACCTGTTCCCTGCTATCATTTGCTTTCAAACGGTGCAAATTGCAAGAGACGAGCGCCAAAAAGAGAGGAAAATTAGGCTTTTCAGCTGAGGGTAGCTATGTGTATGTACGCCGAAATGGCTCAGTATGCACATGATGTTGCTGATCACTCTTTGTTTGTGCCAAGGACCAGGGATTTCAGTTCTGGCATCAGCCTTTCTTCCAGATCTTCCTTCCTTTCTCGCATTCGGTCTGATGTGCAATCTTCTTCCTACAGGACAAAGACACGATACAAGTTCATGGTTTAACTTCGTTCCCCGTCCTAGAAGATTGTGCATTATTCAAACGTCATGCTCATGCATGAATACTGAATAAACGTGCAGAATAATGTACAATGGTAGCCAGTAAAAATATATGGTTGTGCTAGATTGCTAGAGGATGCACTTGTGTATGCGCAAGCTGTGGTGCTTAAGCGTATGTGGCCTCATAATCGCAAAGGTTAAGCTAATGAATATTTACCACCTACAGCATGGCTTTTCAAATAGATCGATCTGGGGATCTATAAAGTTTCAGCATTATGTATACACTACAAGTTTCAAGCCAGAATCAAATACCTATTGCAAAAAAAAATATCAATACTTTTCCTCCAATGCAAAAGCATGAATAAGTAGATATAAGTTTGCAATTGTGTAAGTGGACTTACATCGTCAGTAGCAGCAGCTTGTAGTGCTAGAAGTTTCACAGTAGTGCTGTGATAATCAGCCAATACCTTGTAGGTTGAAGCTGGCAGCTTATCCTGCAAAATGGAGAAGAGTGGTACAATCAAACACAGAGATTTTGCTTTCATGAAAATTTAATCTGAATATGAGAAATACTGCATCACATAAGTTCAAACATCTACTAAAAAAAGCTTAACTGATCATGGCAAAAATGAACTGGGAGTGGGGAGATTTCTCGAACCTATTTCAATGGATTATATGCATATGGAGATGATTTCCAAACTTTGAAATATAATTGATAAGTTAGAAGACTTTTTTAAACCAGACAGTTTCTAGCAAACAGAGAGGGAATGCATGTTCAATGGGTCCTAGTATTTAATCCTCATTTATGCACTGTGCAAAGAAATACATGCGGTCTTATGAAAGTATGCCCTTTCTACTGTGAGAAGCGACTCTTCCTCTCTGTGCACTCATGCAAAGAAAGGAAGTGACCAATAGCTGGCTAGCCAATTTCAAAACGGGATTTTTTTCCTTATTTGTTGATGAATAAACAAAGCTAAGTTGAGTACATAACACACAACACATTATACAAGTTGATTTTCCCCGGGGAAACAAAAAATTAAGAAAGAAATTCACTAAAGAGATGTGGGATAAAAATTCTTCTGGAAGTCAAATGACAAATATGCAGCTCAATATGTCAAACAAATAGATCATCAATCTACCATCTTTAATTACTATTGCTACAGAAGATGATGTTCTGCCAGAACTACATTAGAATGTCTAACAAGAAATGGAAGTGAGTACTTGTAATTACCTTCAGCAGTGTGATAACAGCACCGACAGCCCTTCCTGGTGCCTGAAGAGCCTTATTATATGCCTACAAAATATTAAAACAGGTTGCAAATGAGATCAATATGACAATATAGAATGACGATTTGAGAAATAAAAAGGAGAAAATATATAATCAAACTAACCTGGAGAAAAAGTAAAGCAACGACTTTTGGAAGAAAGGAAACAGGATCGTTCTCTGATGAAACTTGAGCTGTCAAGTCCTTCATTGCATATATTAAAGTGTCAAATATTAGAAATAGAAACTCTAGGCATAAAATAAAAGCAATTAAAATGCCAGGCAAATACCATATTCTTTGTTCAGTACACTGTATTACTATATTGGAATAGTCTTTTTCGACACGCAACACCTCAGTAGTTTAAACTCATCATCGTATCAATCTAACAGTCTTTGTAATATGATCAGAGATTTTGTGTTATGGACTTATGGTACTTGTGCTTGCACTATTTCCAAGCTAAATACATAAGAAGCAGTGTATGCTCATGGAGTGATGGAGATACTAATACTAATACTAATACTAATACGTAGATATTAGCAAATTATTATTAAGCCAGATACAGAAAATTCAAACAAACAGGGGAACAAAGAAAAAAAGAAACTACAGTACATCAGTTTTGAAACCCCTACAAGAAAGGTTCCAGCTTTCCCATAGTTTGCTAAATTTTCAATTTGAACTTTTCATAGTTTGATTTTGGGGCATACACATACCTAATGAATTGGCAGATCAAATAGGATGGATGTGGTTTAGGGCATGATCTGGCTAAAATTTGGAAATCTGTTCAGGGACTAGTTACAAGGAACCAACTGGTTCAAGCCAGTTCTCTGAACCCTGTTGTGCAGTCCAGAAAGCGAAAAACATACCTTGCGATAGGAATGCAACATTGTCCTCTCTAATCTTTTATCAAGCTTCTTAAATGTCAAGCCACTGCTTCCAAAAAAAAATGAGTAAGCACTTTGATAACTATGAAAAATGCAGGTTACAGTTGCAAACATTACATTTTACCTTTCCTCCAGTATATCTCTTAAGGCATCCATAAATGAATCAAATCTCTGCCACATATTATTCATAAAGGTTAGAAAGGAACAAAATTCCAGGTCATATTGGACGTTAAGCAGCTTCATTATATATTAAGACAGCAATTTGTCATTACTGTTAGACAATAAGAACTACAATCACATGCTTGAAAATGTGTGTAACTGATGAAGTAATCATATGACTTTTTAGGTATGCTAAACTTCTCATAAAATCTAAACCGCTGTCTAAATCCATGTTTTGAATTAGACAAGTTTTTCTCACATGATATACTAAGAACAAATCCAATACTTATCTTTGTGTATGCATACCTTTTCCGGATATTGTTTTCATATTCATTCTACATGGTATTAGAAAATAGAATAGCTGGTATCTTGGCAGGATGTTTTAAAGGATATAGGCACAACACAAGCATCTACAGATTCGCTAGTGTATTAAACAAAAATCAGAATATAGCATCTTGACACTATGGCACTGAACCATATTCAGTGGTGGAGCTAGTAGTTCATGGGAGGGTGAACTGGCACAAACATGATTGTGTTCGAAATCAAGAAGGCTAATTTAGCATCTAGTTAGTGTATAGAAGGTAAAACCTAAATGCTAGTATTATTCTTAAGAAAAAATTAGCTTAAGGGAGGGCCATGAACTTCTTTGGCTTCCTACCACTGAAGAACGTCCTAATAATGCAGAATCACCAGTGAAGAACTTCTGAAGAGAGAATTTCATTGCTTCAAGAATATTTTCACGTTAACTGGTCAAATCCTATCCATACCAGATACCACAACTTACAGGTCCTACCTTGTAACTTCTAGCGCATCACCAAAATTGCAGTAAACATTACAGATGTAAAAGAAATATAAAAATTCAGGACTTAATAAATATGCCAAATTTTTACTTCATATTCAAAGTTATACCTTTCCCTCCAGTGCTTCGATTAAAACTTGAGCCTTCAATGACAATGCACCAGGAAGATCCTTGGCCTGAAGAATTATTTTGCATTTACATGGAGGGTAAGTCCATAAAGTTAGACCAAATGAATTTCTCATTCAGGACTGATGCAGGGAACCATCACATGATACATGGCAGAATGAAAAATAGGTTAATTATACCAGAGAGCTTCGGTCAGCCGTGCTTAATTGGATGTGATCTTCTTCGCTATCCTCAACCTCTATTCCATTCTTCAATTTGCTATCCTTATCCTATTGATAGTTCAGAAAATAACTCTTCTCAAGCTCATCAAACAATAGAACACCTTAGCAACCACAGGAGCCAGAGTAAAACAGCTAGAAAAGTATAAACTGCGGAAGCAAAACCATACTACACAAAAGAAACATGTGTGCATGAGCAAGGGTATAAATTACCAATGTAATCAAAACTTTGTCAACTATTGGAGTGCCCATACTTCTTAGCAGATGTTTGTGTAGTATACCCTGCAACCACAAAAGGAGATAATCA